GACCCGAGACCCCGATCGGTCCCGGAGGACCCGTCTCGCCAGGCTCTCCGTTCACACCGGCGTCACCGTCTTCGCCCTGCGCACCGTCTGACCCAGGCGCTCCGGTGTCGCCTGGACTACCCGTTTCGCCCTGGTCGCCAGGGTCGCCGGGTGAGCCGTCGGATCCCACGGCACCCGGCATGCCCGGAGGCCCTGGGTCACCGATCGGCCCGGGCTCGCCGACGGAGCCCGTCTCGCCTGGACCGCCGGAAAGCCGGCTCTCTTCTGTCCTCAGTCCCGGGAGGCCTTGCTCGCCACGAGGTCCAATCGGACCCCTGGGACCCTGTCAAGGCAAGGCAATAATAGTCCAATTCAAAATTACAAGTAAATGACAGCAAAAGACAAGAATAAGAGTCGAGAAAAGAGGCAATGAAAGTGTAAAATATATTGTATCTCTTTCCTGCATGGTTGGGAAAAACGATTGGGGAAGCTTTCATCTCGTAAGAAAGTGCATGATGAGATTCGTGGTTCGATCTCATCGGAATAAGACGGTGGTTTACGGTTTATCTGCAGTCGTTTGGTCTTACTACACGCTTTCGGTAGACGCGGCCACGAGGCCCCTCGTTCGCTTTGGGTGAAAGTGAACCGAAATTTCGTACTTCGTCAATAGACCTATCTGGCTACGTCTTCTAGAGTTTTCGTATATAAGCAAAATTTCAAGGCTACCAATAATTCAGTTATATGAGATGTATACACCCTATTTTGTTTAAGTTGAAGAAGGACTGGTAGTAGAATTTTCCCACAATGATATGAGTTGAGCTGACGTTTTCCATTGAATTTCACATAAGGGACTGGTAGTAGAATTTTCCCACAATGATATGAGTTGAGCTGACGTTTTCCATTGAATTTCACATAGCCAGTGGACTGCAGTTTCGACCTCGCATCGGTCTTATCAACACCCTCAGCGGGAGTCGAACCTCGACAATGAAGGATGGGAGCTTGACACACCAACCACTCGGCTACACTGCCACGAGTACCCTTGAGTCACAGGGCAT